ACTACCGCCAGCTGAAGGAGCACCTCGCCATCGACGTGTACGGGGCACGGGGGCTGGCGCTGGCCGAGGGCGGCGTGGTGGAGACCGTCTCAGCCTACAAGTTCTACCTGGCCTTCGAGAACTCCCAGCATACCGACTACATCACTGAGAAGCTCTGGAGAAACGCCTTCGCCGCCAGCGCCGTGCCCGTCGTTCTAGGACCCCGCAGGGCCAACTATGAGCGCTTCATCCCCCCCGACTCCTTCATCCACGTCGATGACTTCCCCAGCCCGCGGCTGCTGGCCACCTACCTGAAGTTCCTCGATAAAAACAAACCCAACTACAGGAAGTATTTTGCCTGGAGGAAGAAATACGAGGTCCACGTCACCTCGTTCTGGGATGAGCATCTCTGCAAGGTTTGCAAGGCCGTGAGGGCAGCCGGGAATCAAATCAAGACTGTGCGAAACCTGGCCAGCTGGTTTGAAAGCTGATGTTCCCGGAGGATGAGGTTTACCTGGGCAGCCTGTGCTGGCAGTGGGCTGCACCAAGGCGTAGGGAAGGATGGGTCTCGCAGAGATCATTAACTGAGGTAGTGCACAGAAGCTGTCGTCAGCAAGAGAAGCGTACAGGTAAATAAGCTGTGAAAAGCCTACAAAAGGAAGATCTTTATTAAAGTGCAAAATTACAAAAGGACAAAGAAACGTTGGGCAAGATTATTCCTCAAGAGCAAAGTGAATCTCCAGAAGTCAGACAGATCTGCAACCTTCACAGTTGTGCGCAGCTTGACATACCTAACCGATGCCAAGTTCTTCAGCTGTACATCTGAAACCAATTTTGTCGTTTATGACAGCTTCCTGGACCATTTCTTCTGCTTGCAGAGGATACGTGATCAGTGCTGCCTTTCTGTATTCCAAGGACAAAAGTGAATATTTTTAACCAGTGGTGTGCGTTATGCACGTGAAAGCTGTTTGCAGACGAATTCTGAGCCGCAAGTGTTGAATGTAAGAATGTAAAGATACAGTAGCACTTTTTAGCAATGTTTGAAATTGCAGCAGCCAACTAATAACGCTTTGAGCCAAATAATAATTCCATTTAGGGAAAAGTGTATGGAGAGGGTGGATCCGAGTGGAACAAACAGCTCAGATGATGTAGTGTTTCTTCCACCACCTACCAAAAACATAGGCATGTTTATCCTGCATGAAAGCAGAGAAGAACCTTAAGTACAGGAGAAGAAATACCGTAGAAAGAGTCGGAACATTTCCAACCCTTCCTTTATTCAGGAATTAGAATGTTTACAGGAATCTGCGTGTTTTTCCCTGCAAAATTACTGCCATAAAGGAAAAAGCAGGGAAAGGCTCAGAATCATTTTTATCTCTATATTGGATATGTGCACAGAAAGGCTAACTTATTTCTCTGGTATCAGTAGACAGTCCTGGTGTGTAGCGACTGTTTGAGTTGATGGCACACGTTTGTAGCAATTCTGCCAGGTGACAGACTACTCAGAGACCTGCTTTGCTGTTTGTAAAATAATAATTACCAAACCCTCCCCCCAGTAAAACCTCCAGTCCCAAATCCCTGCCTTTCAAAAAGAAAATTACTGTAGACAATAAGATCTAGACTGCTGGTACATTGTGTGAGGAAAGAATATCCAAAGGGATCGATTCACTACTTGCTTTCCTTTGGTTTTGAGGGTTTTTCCTGACTCAGTTTTTGATCAATAAATAGGTTCCTTAGACAAAACTTCTCTCAGTGTCTACAGGGAACACTTACGGTACTTATCCCCTTTCAGACTGACCTTTTGCCAGAATCTTCCTAGTAGTCTGTGTGTGGTTACTTTTTGGTTACATGTAATCTTTGCTTTGTGAAATCCAGAAAGAAACTTCAGTTGCAATTACAGATCCTCCGGAAGCTGAGCCCTCCCTGCCCTTTGCAGCTGTAATGTTTGGTGGCAAAAAATGATAGCCCCTGAAAGTCCTGCACAAAGGACTGTGGGGTTTATCCAGCTCCTATTGAAGGAGCTGGATAATCCATGGAGTTATCCATTGACTTCACTCGGAATAAAACCGTGGGCATAGAACTTTTTTTTAGAGAAGAAGGTTGGTTGCAAATACAAGGTGGGCATCAGAACAGGTGAGTTTACTGGCATTTGTGAGTCATATTTAGGTTAGAAAAGGATTAGATTTGCCTTGAGCAGTAAGGGATGTTGGGTAGGTGCTTTTATGAGATAGCAGCTTACAGTAATTATTTTAATGTAGATATTCCCCTTGATTAAGTAAGCATGGAACCAAGGATTATTGAAAAGAAAAAAACCACCCCCCTCCCAAAACCCCAAGCCCCCTAATAATAATGTTCATTAATAATTTGCACAGATTTACTAGATCAGATCTTACTGTGTCCTATATTTATTCCCCTCGCTTTTGTGGAAGGAAGGAAGGATGGTTGAAAGTACTTTGTGAACCTTTCTGTTGTTAATGCCAGATTCACTGTAGAAATTTGACTGGGAAAGGAGGTGGGACAGTCAGCACGATGTGGAGTGTAGCAGGGATGGTCCCTAATGCTGCATTTTCACTTGAACAGGTTTTACATGATTAAAGCAGAGGCATATTCTTCATTACATGCTCATCTGTTTCTCTACCCGTGGTTACTACTCCCATAAAATTGGTCCTGATAACTCAAAAAATGAGATTTAAGTATAGCATTAATAGTAATAGCTGAGTGTTAGGATGAGAGAGTCTGTCTGCCTTTGAATTATCATTTCTTCTGTTCAGTCTTTGTCACAGTTTACAGAATTACAGGATTATAGAATGGTTTGGGTTGGAAAGGACCTTAAAATCATCTAGTTCCAACCTCCCTGCCATGGGCAGTTCATGTAAATGCAGACAAAAACCGGGTCTTAAAAGTGAACTGACATTGAAGACTGCACTATGTCGTATCAGTCTGCTGAAACTAGTGCATTTTTTCCAGTCCTCCTAATTCTTTTAGCGTTTTCTGAAGGTTTCCAGGCACACAGTTCTGTGTAATCATTAGTAATGCCTTAGGCAGAAGAGCAGGCTCCAGGAGCATGGGAATTTGCAGAGATCACAACCCATACTTTTTTCCTTGGCCTCTCTAAGAAAAGCATTTGAAATCTTCGATGAACTCAAGGTTTGTAAAATTTAGGAAAGAGCTGTGGAATAATTAAAGCATCATGTTTGAATAAGGTGATCACAGTTGTGCTGTATTTGTAAGTGATGCGTTGAGTAATTTCAGGAATTGTATAATGAAGACTGCATTCCTGTAATAATTAGTGCAGATCACTTGTGCTGGGACAGAAAAAGCCTTTTCTGATTTCATCGTTCTTGTGTGAGCATTGCACAATTTTCCCTTTAGGTTTGGGAGGAAATTCAGCTGTTACAGCCGCTCAAGTCAGTGATCCAGCACCTCTATAAATCTACTTTGGTTTCTGGCTCATCCACTCCACTGGCTAATAGTGAACTCATAAGCTAAGGACTGGCTTTTGTCATTCACTTTGTATTGCTCAAGTACAGTTATGAATAAACTGCCTGAGGGAACTGGATAGTAGATAAGGTACCAGACTCCACAAGATATTGAAGGTGATGTATATAATCCTCCTGTAAAAATGAAGCAAAGTTATTTTATATTTTAAGTAAAAATGTCATTTTGAATATGTTTTGAAAATGTGGGTGGGTTTTTTTTCCATGCCTTAAAGTATTGGGATGGAGGGAGAGAAAGGAAGATGATCATCTTCTGGTTTTTATAAGGAGAAGAAATAGTATTCCTTTTTGATTGTGGTGTAAGTGGAATAGAGAATTATATGATCCTTTAAGTTACATATTGTATCTCAGGGAGTTTTATACTGTAATGTCTCTTAATTTTCATAGAATGAAGTAACTTTGTATTAATTATTTAGATTGACACCCAATAAAATTAAAGGAAGCAGCTCAAACTGACCTTATTTCGTCTTCAGTGTTACAAAAGCTTTAGAAAACTGCTTTTGAAAGAGAATGAATTTCTTTTCATGTTTGTTTAATCAATAGAAGTGTCTGATTGTTCTCAAAGTAGTGAGACCATTTGAGGTTAGGAATGAAACCTGGTTGTGCCAGGAGAAAAATATTTTCATAGGAGAGGTTGCGCCGAGTTATTTTCCGTATGAAAAGGAGCATTTATTGAAGTTGGATGTCTGCTGGAAAAACGTCATTTCGAACCAAACCTACAAACAAACTTTCTCTTGACCTACAGAGAATCTGAGTGTGGTTGGATTTATTTTTTTTCCACCCTTAAATTTCAAACTGGAATCGAGATTGTGTTTATATTGATATTTATTCAGCAAGTAGGGCCCAAAGCTTTTCCCTAAGCTTTAGTTAACACTGCTTGCAGCATGGGTGATTGCTTGCCTCTATCTTTACTCATCTTCTGTACTACTTGGTGCATAGTATTGAGAAATTCCCACATTCCTGAATCTTCCTGCCCAGCCAGGATCATAGAATCATAGAATCAGTTAGGTTGGAAAAGACCTCTAAGATCAAGTCCAACCTTTACCCCAGGACTGCCAAGTCTACCACTAAAGCATGTCACTGAGGGCCTCATCTACATGTTACGGATGAGAGAAGTGCTACAATCCTCACTTTCACACCCTCAGGTGATTGATGTATTCCCATCACATTTAACTTTTGTAAGTAGAGCTTAACCTGACTGCTTGCTTACTCATGCCTGAGAGGGGAAACAGTTCTTTTCTGTTTTTCCAGATGTGGTTAAACTCTGGATTGGGGAAACTGGTGCCAAACACTGGGTACTATTTGTTTAAGCTTATTTGGTGACCTTAAAAAGTGAGTTACGCCTGGTTCAAGTCTCTTGCACAGCTCTTTTTCCAACAGTCATACAAAATGGTACTTGTTTTAAGAGTGTAAACAGTTCTGTGTAAGGGACATAGAGCTGACTCAGTCTAAAACCTGTTGATGAGAACATAGTGAATTAACATGGATTTAGGTGGTGGTGTTTAACTAAAGATAAATCAGGATCCAAGTATAAAAGCCTATTTCTAATCAGTAAAAAGGTTATTATTTGAATACTCAGATGTTGTTTGTAGGCAACTTGGTTTAACAGTCATGATCTGTATAATTGTGTATTTTCTTGTATGGTCAGTTTAAAAACAATACTTGAAGCCAGATTACGTGTGTCTACTTTGCATTCTGCGAATGTTTTGGTTTATGATCTTGAGGTAATTACTTAAGCCTAAATTTGGCACAGTGGTAGCTATTCCTGAGAGTCTCACCCCAAAGAATATCTGAGAGCAGTAAGACAAAGCCTGTTTTTCAGGGGCGCATTGAGAGCTGCAGGGGTTTTGCACTGCTGGTGGTAAGGTGCTCAGTGTGTTCAGGAAGCATCCTGAAGCTATGAGTCCCTTTGGATTGGAAAATTTTTCCATTAAGGAGTAAATACTCCTCTAAAGTCCTTCAATGATCTTAGGTCCTCGGAATTATGACTGCATGGG